GTGCCTCGAGCAGACCCTCACCGCTCACCCCGAGGGTCCTAACATGATCCTCGACGACGGTGGTGACCTCACCTGGTTGGTTCACGACAAATTCCCCAAGCTGCTTGACCAGATCAAGGGTGTCTCCGAGGAGACCACCACTGGTGTCCACATCCTGTACTCTGCCATGAAGAAGGGTACCCTTAAGCTTCCCGCCATCAACGTCAACGACTCGGTCACCAAGTCCAAGTTCGACAACTACTACGGTTGCCGTGAGTCGCTCGTTGACGGTATCAAGCGTGCCACCGATGTCATGCTCGGCGGTAAGGTCGCCATCGTCGCCGGTTTCGGTGACGTCGGAAAGGGTTGCGCCGAGTCGCTCCGTGGTTATGGTTGCCGCGTCATTGTCACCGAGATTGACCCCATCAACGCCCTCCAGGCCTCCATGGCTGGTTACCAGGTTGACATCATGGACGATGTTGCCCCACAGGCCGATATCTTTGTCACCACGACTGGCTGCCGTGACATCATCACCGGCAAGCACTTTGAGGCCATGAAGGACGACGCCATCGTCTGCAACATTGGTCACTTCGACATTGAGATCGACGTTGCCTGGCTCAAGGCCAACGCTGCTTCCGTCAGCAACATTAAGCCCCAGGTGGACCGATACACCCTCAAGAACGGCAAGCGCATCATCCTCCTCGCCGAGGGCCGTCTCGTCAACCTTGGCTGTGCCACCGGCCACCCCTCCTTCATCATGTCTGCTTCGTTCTGCAACCAGACCCTTGCCCAGATTGCTCTCTGGAACGACAAAGCTGGCCAGTACAAGCGCGGTGAGGTCTACATGCTGCCCAAGGAGCTCGACGAGGAGGTCGCTGTTGCCCACCTTGGCCGTCTCAACGTCAAGCTCACCAAGCTCACCAAGGTTCAGGCCGACTACCTCGACCTCCCCGTCGAGGGTCCCTTCAAGCGTGACACCTACCGATACTAAGCGTTTCGCTTGCGTAGGGATGTTGGTCACTTTCGTTTGATCTTCTTTTTCTTCTTTTCTCACATGTTCTTGTTCTGCTTTCGAGGTTTTCCGTGCAATTCTCTCTCCCATGCAAGAGTCAACGACTCACTGTAACAGTACTCAACGGGCTACATCTACCCCCACCCCCACACACTCTCGCACATTCTTCTCTCCACATTCAGACCCCAATATTTCTCCCGACACTGTCAAAAAGGACCTACATCCCTATAATCAGTCTGCATCCGTAGTCGTGTCGTGCACCCATCCAAAACATACATCTTTTTCACTCTCAGTCGTGTCAGCAATGCATCATATTCCCCCGACCTTCTCAACAAGGTCACATCACAAAACTCTTCGGACTGTTCACGCCGAGTGTGTCTCGTGCCTCAAGACCGCGCAATCGGGATGATGACCTACTAATAGTCAGCTCAGAAGGTCGCTGAGAATGCGGAGGTCTAGCCGATCATCCGACTCACTCTTGCGTTCATGCCCTCAGCTGAAAATCGTATTCGGCAGCTTTTGAAGCGCAATCTGCGCGAGGTAAGACCGGCTCTGTTGTTTGTATCGTTCTCATTGGAGTGTCTACATGCGATTTGGGATCGGAAGACTTCGTCCCGACATCATCTTTCGGTCAGTCCGAAAAATCAGAAAAAAAGAACAGCGTGTGATCTGAGCGAAACAGCTTTTTATTTTTTTTTGTTGCATAATTCAGCGTGCGCAAATTACCGGTCAATGTGCCGATTGAAAGGGCAAGGAAGCGGTTGGAAAGCGGCAGACAGAGTGCCCTTGTCGGTCGGTCATGCGGGTGCGAGATTAGAGGCTGCCTGCACATTGATCGGCCAGAACCTTTGGGCAGCTCTTTGCAGCTTTGCTTTTAGCCTCCTCATCCTTCTCCTACAACAAAATAGTACAAACTCTGAGCTTCTCTTTCGACGCTGGGACAGTAGATGATAGCCAGATTCAAACCTCTTTCTATCTCTTCTTTACCCACGACATCATCCCTACTCAAATCATCGCTAGCACAAAGCGTTCATCGAGTGGGTTACCTACACACATTGTCCAACCTGTCGCACTCTTTCTCCTCGAGCCTTTCCTCGCGGGGTTCCCTCCTGCAATCCTCCAGCAACGGCGTCGCTCTGCGCTTCTCTGGACCTCAATCACAATCTTTTGGCCTTCAACATCTTTCTCGCCCTTCCTCCACTTGTAACTCCAACAACATGGGTGCGATCGCAACCGGAAGGGTGGACACAACCCAACGAGTTCAAGCTCTTCGAGAGCTGATGACCAAATACGGTATTGACGCCTACGTCATTCCATCGGGTGACGAGCACGCTTCCGAATACCCCGCCGAATCCGATCTTCGCCGAGGCTTCATTACCGGTTTCACCGGTTCCGCTGGTTCTGCTATTGTCACCACCAGCAAAGCGCTCCTCTTTACCGATGGTCGATACTTCCTCCAAGCAGGTCAGCAGCTGGAACCATCCGTGTGGACTCTCATGAAGCAAGGCGAGCCCAACGTTCCCACGTGGCAAGAGTTCTTGAGCAAGAAGCTGCCCAAGGGTACCAAGATCGGTATGGATACCTCGCTCATCTCTGCTGACGATGCCAAGGATATCACCGCCGAGCTCAACAAGAGTGGGTCCAGTCTGATTGCGATCAAGGATAATCTCGTAGATCAGGTCTGGAGCGATCGTCCCAACAGGCCTAGCAAGGAGATTTTCGTACTCGACGATGCAATTGCCGGTCGCAGTTCGAGCAACAAGATCAAGGAGTTGAGGGACGATCTCAAGAAGAAGAATGCTCAGGGCTTCGTGGCCAACATGTTGGATGAGACGGCTTGGCTATTCAATCTGAGAGGTAGCGATGTGCCTTACAACCCCGTGTTTTTCAGCTTTGCTCTCGTTACTCTGGACGAGGTCCTTCTCTATATCAACGACAGTCAGCTCACGGATAAGGTGAAGAAGGCGCTCGGAAGTGAGGTCACGCTCAGGCCCTATAGCGAGTTCTACAACGACCTCCACCAGGTTGGCGCCAGGCTGAAGGAGGGTGAGAAGATCCTCATCGGCAAAACGGCAAGCTTGGCTGTCCAGGATGCATTGGGTGGGGAAGGCAAGGTCGAGATCGTTCGATCCATCGTCGGGGATCAAAAGTCGATCAAGAACGAGGTAGAGCTGGATGGATTCCGGCAGAGTCACATTCGAGATGGTGTGGCTCTATGCCAGTACTTTGCCTGGCTCGAGGAGCAACTCAAGGCTGGAAACAAGGTGACGGAATCTGAAGGGGCTGATAAGCTCTCTTCGTACCGTCAGAGCCTGGATCATTTCAGAGGAGAGTCGTTCACCACCATCTCGTCCACTGGACCCAATGGAGCCATTATTCACTATTCGCCCGACCCTCAGAACTGCCCGGCGATCGACATCAACGAAATCTACCTCTGCGATTCCGGCGCTCAGTTTACGGATGGCACGACCGATGTGACCAGGACATGGCATTTCGGATCTCCTGCAAAAGAGCACATCCGCGCTTTTACCAGGGTTCTTCAGGGTCACATCGCTATCGATCGAGCTGTATTCCCCAAGGGCACGACGGGGTACCTCCTCGACGTGCTGGCTAGGCGAGCGCTTTGGGAAGACGGTTTGGATTATAGGCACGGAACCGGACACGGTGTAGGTCACTTTTTGAACGTCCACGAAGGTCCACAGGGTATCGGGACCAGGGCTGTGTTTAACGAGACCAGTCTCAAGGAGAACATGGTCGTTAGCAACGAACCCGGTTACTATGAGGATGGTAAATGGGGTATCAGGATCGAAAACTTGGTCATCGTCCGTCCCGCAAAGACCCCCAACAACTTTGGTGCAAAGGGTTACTTGACTTTCGAACACTTGACCATGTGTCCCATACAGGTCAGCCTTGTCGATGCAGAGCTGTTGACAAACGAGGATAAACAGTGGCTCAATGATTACCACGACGAGGTTCTGAACAAGGTTGGACCATTGTTGCAAAAGGATCAGCGTGCTTTCGAGTGGTTGAAGAGGCAGTGTAGTGCTCGTGTCTAAGGAGAGAGACCGCTCGTTGAATCGCTTAGGTGGTCACTGTACAGCAAATTACTGTAAAATACGACTCTCACCGTTCAGTATTTAAATTTTTGACATTTGCGATTCTCGGCCCTCTCTTTGTGCTTATCTTGCATCCACAAGCAAATCGTTTTGCTCTGATCTACAAACATAAAAAGCTTTCTCTGGCTCCTTGGCTACAAGTGGGGTCTTTTCGATTCCTGTTTGACACTCAATGGCTTTGGAACCATAAGGCATGCTATCTACAAGCTCTGGGCAGATCTTACGAGTTGTCAAAAATGGAGTGACGCTCGTATTTTGTGCTTGCTCTACATAAGCATAATATTGCAACGATGCACTTCATGCTTGTTTTCGATCAAATATGGTGTCTCAGAAGTGATCAAGGATGGAATCGAGCTGACGGGTGTGTATGCAAGAAGAAAATGGGGTCTGCGAAGGTAAAAAGGAGAACCCAATTTTCGTTTATATCTTAGGCCACGAAGGCCTATGAATTGCAAAGTCCCGAAACAAAATATGCGACACTTGCTCGTGCCGCCACCTCGAAACCCTTCTCGCTACTGTTCAGCCTATTTGGTGACCAATGTCTTCCGAAAAAGTGAAGAGCATCCCCTCGTTGTCCTGCGTTCATCTAGGTAGGGTGATACCAACCCATATTTCGATCATTTTGCAACCCGTACTGTAGGGTACCGTACGGTAAATTTAGAGAATGTTCTGAAGTCAGTTATAGAACGGTCGCCTCTATTGCCTCGGACCTTGAGCAATTATCGTACAGTCGCATCGCGAACAATGTACTTTGGCAAAGGTCATCAAAGCTCATCTGTGCTGTGTCCCAGGCCTAGGCTCTCCCTTACGCATCAGGGCAGGCGCTTGTTTTAGGGTCACGAGAACCTAATATGTGTGTATATATTGTACTATTGTTCGTCTTTTAAAACAAAGGGTCTTTAGCTCAGCAGTAGAGCGGCAGACTTCGGCTTCATATCGAAGGTCCTAACCACAGGCATTCTGCAGGTCGCGGGTTCAATCCCCGTAGGACTCTATTCTTTTTGCGCTTCTTTTTCTTCCGCATGAAACATGCAACTATCTCCTTTACGTGTGCACGGCTCTAAGGACCGCCCAACTTGACAGGATAATGTGCGTCGAGGAAATGTCATTTTGACGGTGATATGGTGGTAAAATTACAGCACGGAGTGCAGCGAAATGTTGAAAGATGTACTGTAAATTTACATTACATCACAGTAAATTTTCTGGCCTGCTCAGGTGGATGCACTTGATTGAGGCCAAGTTTGATCCCATATTTTTCACTTGTTTACCGCGTTCCCTTGCCATTTTGGAAACACCACGTCCGCATCAACAAAAAAATCATCTCCTAAATCTGCCTAGAGTTAGGGTTGTGGCTGGGGTTGGGGTGAGAGCTGGATTTCGTGTTTCTGGCTCCTCAATTATCATCACGAAAGGGGTTTTGATGGTATGAAAATGTGAATTGCAATTCGAGAAACATTAATTAAAATTTTGGATTTTAGCGGCCTGTACAAAAAGGCAAAGAGGCTGCAGACGGCGATATTGGAAAAAGCAAGGAAATAAGCGAGCGCTACTTGGCTCAGTTGGGTAAGGTTAAATATTATATGACGTCGAAGATTTATCATTAAAAGCCTATGTTACTCCAGACGGTGCCTTAAAAAAAATACGATTTGTATTGTGCAGGGGAACTTGCGTGTAGAATGGTTCCGATGGATTGCACTAGTTCGTACTGAAGGATGGAAGAGACGCCGTCTGATGAAATTTATTTGGGTGGCTCGTACGGTCTGGTTTTGAGCTTCCCACGCAGAGCTTTTTAACAACATTTGATGCAATGGAATGAGACGGTGCTACATGATAGGAGCACGCAAACTTGCGATCGAGCTTGCATCGAACGTCGCTATGCATTGCATATGAGGAGGGAGAAAATTGGCATGAAAGTTTGACCGTAAACGTCCTCAAAGGAGCCCTCTCTCTCATGAAATTGCTGGTTGGGATTCCTCAAAAGCTGCTATGTACTAAGCTTCACATTCGGGTGAGGTCATTCACCACTATTTCGTCTCACAAACGCATCATGTTGAACAGAAATTACCATTGCCTTAACTCCTGGGATGCCGTCTCTCCATGATCTGCGCCCAAGCCTGCACGAAGCTCATTATGACTACTTTGAGTTGCTCCACCCGGAGTACATTCCCTGAGTATCTCTTCTTGCTCGTTGAAAAATGTTCGTGGTCGAGGCACATCAAATAGAGGTGGTGGTGGAGATGGCGGAGGTGGACGAACAGGTCTCTGCGCTGTTGTCAAAGAGGACGCTTCCACATTTGTATCGGTCCATATGCTGTTCAGCGTTGAAGTAGAAGAGCTGTTCTGTGCACGTGAAAGAGCTGACGAAGGATCAGAGGATTCGTTGAGCATGCTGTTGAACCTGAAAGATGGCGTATTTGAAGTTGAATCATGTTCGTTCATGGAGTGCGCAAGAGCAAGAGGAAGAGAGGAACCTGTGGTCCAAGGTCTATTCCCGGGTTGAATCTGGAATTGCATGTGCTGCAGAGGTGGTCCATAGGCAAAGCTACTGGTGAAAGAAGCCTCAGTAGCTGTGGAATCGCGCCTTTCCTCTCCCATTCCAACGACAAAACTGCTGATACTATTTAAGTGGCTGCTACTATATCGCAACGGCGTAGGTCGGATCACCTGTGGCAAATGCATCCCACCTTGCTGCTGCTGTCCGCCATAAAACGTTCCAACTCCACGCTGTTCTCGAGAAGTTGTATGAAAAGGGGCCATGATATTCGACCCGAAAGGTGGAGGAACAACATTTGTCGTCGACGAAGTCGTCGATGATGTTGACGCAACCTCTCTGGACGTGTAACCGACCATCGGTGTGCAGGGTGCAGTGTTCCTTCTTAGCCCATAGGGTACGGTCATGTTTGCATACCGTAAATTACGGTGCTTGTCCGCCCGTTTCGGTCCAATGTTCATACCCGACATCGAGGAAAATTCACCGTGAGTCGGATGTCGCAAGGAAGAAGAAGAAGAAGGAAAAGATGATGATGATGGCTGCGATACAATATCAACAAGCGTGTTCATCGGTCCGAGCATCTTGCCTTTCCTCTCGTGTCTGGAGTACACGCAAAGTATAGATTGCTTTGCGCATCGTTGACATGGTTGTGTTCCGGAACACTGTATGTAATCCGAGCCAACCAAAGAGAAATCCCCCGACTCTTGAAGTTTGATTAGCAACCATATCTTTCCACTTGAGGTGCAACAAAAGAAATGCAAAGAAGAAAAGAAAAACATGACATGGAGGGAGGAAAGGCCAGGGGGTTCTACTTACTTTTGCTTTACGCTGTCGACAATGTTCACAAGCATGTGAGACACGGAAACCTTTACTGTCGAGCATTTCCTCAACATGTCGCTCAGTCGCTCGTTGAGAGTCTTCCAAATCTCTGCGGGTTTGCATCTCGAGCATTTCCGCTTGGGCTTGGATCATGCCCATATTCAGGATGGCTTGTGGTTGAGGTTGAGACAAAGCTGACGGATTACGAGCGGATGAAGACGAGGAAGAAGAATTACTGCGTCGCCAAAATTCGTCGCTGGTTGATGGTGGTGGTGGTATTGGCTGCTGATATCGATATGGAACGATTGAGTCGAATGAGTGGGCCCTTGGTGAGATTGCTGGAGACCAGTTTGCGATTGTTGAGGCCATGACGTTTAAAGAAGGGCCATCGACATGGTTGGAACTCCCATCCTTTGCCGAATCGGCATCACGGCGGAGCATCGTCCTGGTGCAAGGGAACAACACTTGGTCTTGCGGTGAGTGGAAGTGACTGGATGCGCTAAGTGCAGGTGAAGAGAGAGTGGAAGCGGAAGAATGTGTTTCTTCTATCCACCTTAGATACGAATGCTCTGAGAAGTGCAAATGACATTCGCGAGAGGGTGCGGAAGGTCAACATATGTTCAATGTACTGTTACATCCAAGGAGTCTTTTATAAAACTCTATGATGTATATCCGTACTCGAAGAAAAGGTGAGAAGTTCTTCTCTGCAGCACTTCCATCCCACATTACCTTTCGTGCTTTTCACATTTCTTCAATGCCGATGAAAGTCTGACTTGACCCACCTTACGCGCACAAATATCGAAATGACCTGTTCTCGGGAACCTGGATCCGATTCTGTCCACTCTGAAGGAGTCCCTCATTATTCCATCTCATGAGTCCCGAGTCTGCTCTGTTCACATTCTTGAAGGCTGTCGTGCACTTGAACAAAATGGAAGGGAATGGGGAGAAGGAGAAGGAGAAGCCTCGCGAATGGTCGCACACGACGGCTGTTTGCGATCCTTGTGCAGGACCATGGCCAGGTTGTCAGTGCGAGTAGAGATTTGACCGAAGAAATTCGACCTGCTTCAGGTTGCCGCGAGTGGTTTCATTTGCGCATAGCTTCATCAGGGAGCATGCTTTCTGACTATAGGCGGTCGGCCATATGAAGCGATGCTATCGCATCAATGGTGAAAGGGGTCAAAAGAGCGAGCATTCCAAAGTGCTGCAATATTACTGCGCGCTGCGTTCCCGTTTCCGCTTTGTACGTTTTCTACCGTACACAGATGCGAGCACATCGCCCACCACCGCCTTTTTTCTTGGATAGCCTTCATTTTTGGAAGCTTTGTATTTCTTCCCAAGAGCTTTTCATCCCAAAGAACTATCATGGATGAGTTCAGAAGGAAAGAACAAAAGGGAAATCCGATCCCGAAGGCTCACAAAGATGCTCTGTCGTCTGAGCGCAGGGTTACAAGGCAGCAGCATCGAGAGTGTGGGAATCAGTCAGTTGATCATGGCTCTTCTCAAATGAATTCATTTGTACGCACATGAACCACGTCACAATGAATTTCAAGGTGGCCAGTCAAGAGGACGAACGAATTGTCAACCTTTTCCGCGGTTGCCAACCGGACAGCTGGACGGCAATTCGACCTATACCAAAGCAATGTGATTTTGCAATGCAGTATAGTAACATTCCCAGGGTAACTAGCAAAAAAAGGAGAGCAGACCACCTCTACACATGGGTCACGACTACATCGAACACGTCAAGGTGAGATTGGAGCTGTGCTGCACTGTGTGGAAGTCGGTGGGCGAAGGTGGGCCTGGGGTACGCACAAGCTGCAGCGATGTGTGGCGACGTTATTGTTCAATGTGATGCTCGTTCTGGCTGCTTTCGCGCGTGGCAGCCATGCGCGGAAACGAAAGCAACAGCTAGAGACGGAAGTTAGACCAGCCGAATGAAAAGGTCCTAAGGTTTCGAAACATTGCCGGCAGCACAAAGTTCATGTCAGTACACGAAACAATGAAGGCGCGAACGAGCGAATTCTCGGTTAGGGTTAGCAGGCTAGGTTTGGACACATTCGCGTGTCCAAATGTGCGGTCCGAACTTACCGACTCCTTCGTGCCAGGTCGTTCGAGATGAGCTAAATATTTTCGGAAAGCTTGAATGAACACAGATAGTCCATCGCCATCAGAATGCAAAGTTTCATCCTCGCCTTGAGAGATCCGGATGAGCGAACGCCAAGGATGACAGCTGGGGAGTCAGGGCCCTTCAGCGGATGGGTTTCAGCACGACAGCGTTACACAAAAAAAAGAATCGACAGCATCAATGAGCACCGCTACCACGCCTTCAGCCCTAATTTGAGATGCATGGACTTCCATTGTTGTCACGCACGCACCCGTAATGCTGCCAAAAAAAAGCCTTTTCACCCACATGCCAAAAATATGGTTTCCCTTGTGTCGCATCCGTGTTCTTGGCACCTATTTGCAAGGACAGTGATACTGAGAGTTGAGGCGAAAGACAAGGTGACGGGCTGATGCTCCGCCGTTGCATAAGCTGGCTCGTTCCGGGCAATAGGAAAAGGTTCTCGTATCATGATAAATGCAGGATGGCAGACGAGGTATAACGCCCCGCCGCAGGCAACTTCCGCACGGGGAAAAAGCATTGTCACCTAGCTCAAGGATAGATGCTCTTCTTTGTCCCGCAGTCG